TCCCCTCCATGGCACCTGGTGCCAGGGCTGGGGCTGGCCCAATGGCAGGCCGATGACGGGCATGTGGGCATCTGACGGGCAGTGCCCTTGGTCTCTCGGCACCTCCATCAGCCCTCTGGCCTGGCCCAGCCCATGGTGCCTCTTGGTCACTGGTGGCAGGTCCACAGCCCAGGCTTGGCCGCCAGAGTCACACCTCTGCCCACCCGAACCCCTGGGGAGTGGCCACTGCCCCCATCCATCATGCGATATTTACAGTGAGTTCAGAGACGTTGTCCTGAGGAACGAGGGCTCAGAGCACAGCCTTGGCCCTGCCCGCCCAAGGTCTGGTCTGCCGGGAGCTAACCTCATGCCGGGGGCCTGTCCTTCCTCCTAGGCCGTGGAGGATGCGAGACGCCCTGGGGGAAAACCCTCTTTTGGGTTTGGAGGCCGAAAGCTCACATGGCAGTCTCTCAAGTTAATCCAGTACTGGGAAAATTTTGGTTGAAAAAAGTGGAACCAGCTTGTGAACTGGAGTTTTTCTTCCTGCAGAGCTCCTTTGGGTATTGCATGAAGATGCAAATTTTACATCTGGGTTAAACGCATAATTTCCCTTTAAATTGCCTGCTTGACTGTGTACAAGGATCCCTGCTTGGTGTATGTTCATACCAACTGGAAACTTAGTTGAAAGTAATTTCACTCAATTAACTGGTCCTTTGTTTGACAATGCTGCTTCCCCTGTGTGTGCATGTGCTGTGGGAATTTCAGCGTCCGGTAAATTTGGCCTCAATCATTCCTCACCTGTCATCCTGCCGTGTAAGTGCTGAGCTGAGCGCAGCAGCTAAAAACAAACATCTCTGTGTGTAGAAAACTCACTAGCTCTCGTACCTTGAGAATGGAAAAATACATCCAGTCTAGTTTAGGGTTGTGCTGTGGGAATTTCAGCGTCCGGTAAATTTGGCCTCAATCATTCCTCACCTGTCATCCTGCCGTGTAAGTGCTGAGCTGAGCGCAGCAGCTAAAAACACACATCTCTGTGTGTAGAAAACTCACTAGCTCTCGTACCTTGAGAATGGAAAAATACATCCAGTCTAGTTTAGGGTGAAGCAAAGAGAGGCCATTGCTCTGACAGGTAATTTTATAAATATTATTTTGACAGATACTATAAGGTGCCAGGGGCAGAAAACCCATGCAGTGGAACATGTGAAGTATTTAAATGACTTCTCTTAAAATGAACTTCATGTTTTAAATAATAGATGTTTACCTCCCAGGTTAAGCCTTAAATATTCCCATTTTCACTGAAATGGCATGTTTTTAAAAAGGCAGCATTGTACCCACAATGCACTGCCCACCGGCAGAGCCAGGCCCCAGAGTGGGTCCTGTGGGATTCGAAGTTGTTGTTGTCAGACCGTCTGACCCCGGCCAGGCCACGTGCCGCCCTGGCGGCCCCTCCTGACACGAGGAACACACCGTGGCCACACATGAGCGAGTCTTGGTCAGAGACTCACCTGTATACTCTTGTATTAAATGTCACAGAATGTAATACTGAGAGCCAGGTCTTCCTTGGTCTCTGATTTTATTGTCACGTTTCCTGTTGTGAAAACCTAGGTCGAGCCCAGCACAGGTTCCTCAGGAAGCTTGTTGGTTTGGCAGAAGACTGGACTCGGGCTCCCCAGAAAGGACGAGAGCAGCTGAGCGGGCTGGAGGGCCAGTCCCGGTTCCCAGCGACGCCCCCCCCCAGCGGGCTGGAGGGCCAGTCCCGGTTCCCAGCAACGCCCCCCCCCAGCGGGCTGGAGGGCCAGTCCCGGTTCCCAGCGACGCCCCCCCCCAGCGGGCTGGAGGGCCAGTCCCGGTTCCCAGCAACGCCCCCCCCCAGCGGGCTGGAGGGCCAGTCCCGGTTCCCAGCAACGCCCCCCCCAGCGGGCTGGAGGGCCAGTCCTGGTTCCCAGCAACCCCCCCCACTCAGCACCATGCCCAGAGACGCTCGTGGGTCCACCTAGGAGAGTGCGCGTCCGCCCGAGTGGGTAGGGCGTGCGGTTCCTACAGAATTAACCTTGTCAGCAGGACCCACCGTCAGGAGTTGGTGGCCCCAGCAGGTTCTCTGTGTCGATGGCCTCAGAGGTGGGGGAGGCCCCATGTCAGCCTTTGTCCACACAGCAGGCCGGGAGGACAGCGAGTGGACATTAGGTCTCTCTTAGTAAACTTAGGCTCTCGCCAGCTCTCTGCTTGCTGTGGACACTCAGGGATCAGCCACAGGCCTGAGACCAGCTCACTCCCTCTGCTCACTGCCCATCAGGCACACGTCTGGTCCGTACGGGGCAGACCCTGTGGATCAGGATGAACACAAGATTATCCTAATAGGAAAGACCCACTTGGAAGATGAGCACACCCATGGGTGCCTGGGGCTGTGTCACAGACAAAGATGATAAAAACAGGGAGCCTGACGCCTGAAACTGCTGCTACTGCCAGCAAATAAGATCTTTAACCAACTCCAGGGTCCCAGAGAGTCTGGAGAGTATGTGTGCACATGTCAGCCTGTGAGCATGCGTGTGTGGCGTGTGCATCTATGCACACCCATCCTGTGTGCACGCCCGACTTGTGTGCACACCCGACCTGCATCCTCCTCGTCTCCGTAAGATCTCACAGTGATGCTCAGATGCCCCGGAAGCCACTCTGCAGCCTGTGACATTTAACAAACACGGGCTGTTAAATGTTACTCGGGAGCTACAGACTGCTCCCCAGAGACGTACGCAGATGCCAGTCCCCAGCGCTGGGAGTCAGCTGCCGGACGCTTACCTGAAGCTGTAAACTCGTTCACTGGGGCTGCTATTCAGCTGCAGTCAGAGCTGGGCTCAGTGGCCTGTGGTCCCGTATTGTCTGTTGTAATGCTGTGCAGACCACATCTGCCGGGAGATGGGGCTGGATGGACGGAGCCATGACGCTACGCGAGCCCTACCCTGACGAGGTGCCATGCAGATCCCTCTCTGGCCCGGTGCTCTGCCTGACGCCCCAGCTCATCCTCCCACATCGGGGGTGAACAGCCCGGCACTCTGCTCAGTGAGTGAGCGTGACTCTCATGAACAGCCTGTCATTGTTTGGATTCTCTTCTGAGGCCTCAGAATTTACAAGTGACTTCATCTCTTAATTAAGTGATGTCAGCGCAGTAGCTGGGTCTGTCAGCACGTCCTGATGGACCGTTTGCTGCTGCTTTGAACCACGCTGGAAGCAGCTCGCACTCACTTCTCTGGGAGGAAGAGACTCGTCCCTCACCGTGGGGTCAGAGGAGAGCTGGGGAGGCCGCAGCCGAGGACTGGAACAAGGTGGATGCCGCTACCCAGGTGTCGTGAAAAGAAGTGGAAACCAGCCAGGGAAGCGTGCAATGGGATCTCCACAAGGAGGAGGGAGACATGGGGCAGAGAAAGTGCCGGACCTGCCGGCAAAGTTCTGGCTTGTTTGTCTCTGGACCGTCAGCTTCCATTCTGACATCCCAGCTTGGAAAAAGTGAGCCCTAGAAACAGCAAGCAGGGTCTTGGACGTGGAGGTCAGCTGCTGCTGGACCTGGAGGTGTCCTGTTTCTGTGGATCACTGAGTCTGTCCCCCTGTGTGTCTGAGAACTGTCTGTGTTCAGTCTACCTCCATCCCAGTCCCAAGCCAGCGCTGCCTGAAAGTGCTCGGTCGTCCAGCCTGGACGCCTGCCTGTAGCTGTGAAGTGACCATCAGGACGACTTCCTGCAGGGCAGAGGCGGAGCCTGAATGGCAGGGCGGGGACTGGTCCCCACGAAGCCTCATTTAAGCAGGGGCTTTGGGGCTCATGTATTGGCCGGACCTGAGAACAACCCCACTGCAGGGCCAGTTCTCCTGTGGTTTCCACCTGGGGAATAGGGTCGGCCGGGGGGTGGGCGGCCGTGCCCTCACCCACATGGAAGCGGCGACTGACAGCCACTGAGCTGCCTGTTGTCCGAGCTGCTAACATGAGTCCAAGGAGCAGTGATGACGCCCCTCGAAGGGGAGAGTGGCCCATTGTGCCCCCTGAGCCTGTGTCGGCGGCTGCCCTCTTGGGATCCTGTGTTGGGACCCTAGCAGGTCCCCGCTTCTGTGGGGGGGGGTGTTCAGCACAGGGGCTGGCCCTGCACTGCCTGCTTGCTTTGGGTTTCTCTCTTGAGGACGGCCTGCCATAAACAGGATGGAAGGCAAATCCAGTGCCGTTCCGAGAGGGACTTTCACGGAGGGGTGCAGGGGGAGGCGAGGCAGGGACTCCACCCAAGGTCCATCCAGGGGCAGCTGGTGAAGGTCCTGGGAGCGGCACTCACCCCCAGCTCCTGGTGCAGAGTCGGCCTATCATGTGTCTGGGGTCCGAGGCTAATGGGTTTTGTGCCCACAAAAGACCATGTGCCCAGCACACAATTGAAATGGCCATGTGCAGCCCCCCCTACACACCTCCCATGTGGGGTCTGAAGCTGGCAGAAGACGGGCCATGACCTGGGCCACATGGGACAGATCCTAGAGCCCCACACACCCATGGCCTGCCAGGCGGATGTCAGTTGTGTCTGATTTGAAGCATCCTGTTTCTGGTCAGGAGGGGGCTGAGTAGGAGAAAGTGGATCGAGTCCCATTGGGTGCGTGTCTAAATTCATTGGGGGAGGGGCTTGCACTTTGTGCAGCAGCTTTGGGCTTGGCCTCGTGAGACGCTTGTGTCCACATGCGTGGGCAGAGGAGTGTCTGCGGATGAGGCCGTGGCCTGTAGACCCCGGCTCTCCTCCCCACCTGCCCCTCTTGGGGTCCCTTTTGCTGTCTTGAGATGCAGGCAGACACATGCAGGTGTGTATGGTCCTTGTGTGCACTCGTGTTCAAAGCCGACTCCAGAGCAGAGGCCCCAGACTTTGGGTCACGAGGTATCCAGACCAGTAGGAGGTGGGGGACTGGCCTTGGGGCCACACACTTCCCTCTGAACCTGCCTCTGTGGGGAGCGAGGCGGGTCCCAGCGTGGGTGCGGCACTCATGGGCCACTGCTCCTCTGTCCGCAGCTGCATGGCTACATGGAAAGCGAGCCGCTCACCCTGCAGCTCTTCATCGGCACGGCAGACGACCGGCTGCTGAGGCCGCACGCCTTCTACCAGGTGCACCGGATCACAGGCAAGACCGTGTCAACCACCAGCCACGAGGCCATCCTCTCCAACACCAAGGTCCTAGAAATCCCACTGCTGCCGGAAAACAACATGCGCGCCATGTAAGCTCATCTGCGTGTCCACGGGCCCTGCATGTCCGAGGGGCTGGCCCTCGGAGGGAGGGGGAGTCCTCTCCTCACATTTCCAGTTTGCTCAACACCTCAGGAAACTTTACAAATATTTACGATGGCAGACTTGTTTCCTTCCAGGGTTTTCATGTTGCCACTCAGTTCACAACTATGTGTGCCCCCTCCGTGTGCAAACGTGGCACCCACTTCTTTTTTTTAAACTTTTCATTTTGTATTGGGGTATAGCCGATTAACAATGTTGTGATAATCTCAGGTGAACAGCAAAGGGACTCAGCCATACATATACATGAAGTCATTCTCGCTTAACTCCCCCCCTACCCCCGCATGGCACCCTTTTCTTTTTGAAAGCTCTGTGAAAGCAGAGGAGTGGTTAAAATGCAAATAATGTTGAAGCATTATGGAGACCGGCATGTCTGGGTCGTGTTTTCACTGAGGGTTTCTGCTGATGTGACCAGCTAGAATGTTCAGGTCAGGCCTGGCTCGTTGGCGTAGAGGTGACTCTGTTAGCGAGCTATAGAGTCATCTTCTCAGGTCCAAGTGGGGTCCCTGTTTGTGGCCTCATTAACCGAGTGACCACAGTGTGCCCAGCCCTTCACTTCCAAGCTGCAAATGCGGCAGAGAAAGGGGACAGGGTTGTCCCTCTGGACTCACCTTCTCCTGGGGGCCTCTGGGTGCAGGATGGAGCATCAACACCCTGTGTGTCTAGATCAACACGTAAGGCAGCAGTTCATTAACACGGGGTTCTCGGGGTGTCTGGGGGTGGCCTTGAAGCTGACTGTGCAGGGAGACAGCAGGTGAGAAGGCCCTGAGGCCAGGTGGGTTTGGGGTATCCTTGGGTGAGATGGAGCCAGGGCCATAGTTGGGGAGGGAGGGTGTGGGAAGCCACAGTGTGGGCTTGTGTGGGGTGTTGACCAGTCATTTGTAAGTAGCTCCTAAATCCTCCGTATTATAAACAAAATGAAAGCCTTCTCTCTGTGTTGGCTTTTCAGGAATTTGGGGGGGATTCATTCAAAGTTTCCCAAGGATCAGGAATGCTGACAACTGGGAGACCCTGCTGGTCCCTCTAGCAGCTGCAGCTCTGACTCCAGTGGCTGCGTTTACTCCATGAAATAACCCTTCAGCCTGGGGCAGCGTGGTCACAGCAGGCCAGGCTTCCCGCCACTCTGGGCCGGGCTGTGGTCCCGACCTGCAGGCCTCGTGCTGCCTCATCTCTGACCTTCTGACAGAGGCAAGGGCTGGTTTCCATCTGACAAGTTGCCTGTGGATTGTGCTGGAGGCTGGTGTTGGTTAGAATCATTAAGTTAAATGAAACTAGAGGAAATCACATGAGGCCCTAGCAAATCCAGGATCCTGAGTTGAGGGGGGACACTCCCAGAATCTTGGGGAAGGAGGTTTTCAGAGCCTGCCTTGGGAGCCTTCCTCTGGGGCATCCACACTTGCCCAGTGCGGCAGGGCCCTGAGCAAGTGGGGCTCTGCCTGCTTGAGACCAGGATGCGTGAAGATCTAGCTTGTCCTGCCTCTTCGCTCCCCCCCCCCCCCCTTGACGGGTGGACGTGGGGCCGTCCTGACAGGTGAGCAGGTGTCAGGCAGGCTGGGGGCTGAGGCGGCACTGTTGTTTCACAGCATCGACTGTGCTGGGATCCTGAAGCTCAGGAACTCCGACATCGAGCTGCGCAAGGGGGAGACGGACATCGGGAGAAAGAACACACGGGTGCGGCTGGTCTTCCGCGTCCACATCCCACAGCCCAACGGCCGGACGCTGTCACTGCAGGTGGCCTCCAACCCCATCGAGTGCTGTGAGTGCCCCGCTCCCGCTGCCCCATGTCTAGGCCGAGGGCCAGTCCCCGCCGGACACTTCCCTTCCCACAGCCCACAGCATTCCGCCCCGCCCCAGGGAGTGTGCCGTGTCGGGACCCCCATCCTCATAGCTCACCGGCCCACTGCCTCAGGGAGCATCCTGGTTCATTCCTTTGTCTCTGACCTGAGCATCAGTCAGATATCAGTGACGGCCCCCCTCTGGCCCATGGCCCCTCCCTCACGGCCCCGCTCTGCCCCGCGACCCCTCCCTCACGGCCCCGCTCTGCCCCGCGACCCCTCCCTCACTGCCCCGCTCTGCCCCGCGACCCCTCCCTCACTGCCCCGCGACCCCTCCCTCACGGTCCCCCTCTGCCCCGCGACCCCTCCCTCACGGCCCCCCTCTGCCCCGCGACCCCTCCCTCACGGCCCCCCTCTGCCCCGCGACCCCTCCCTCACGGCCCCCCTCTGCCCCGTGACCCCTCCCTCACGGCCTTTCTCTGCCCCGTGACCCCTCCCTCACAGCCCCGCTCTGCCCCGTGACCCCTCCCTCACAGCCCTTCTCTGCCACGTGGTCCCCTCCCCCACTCTTGCTGGACCCTCCTGTCCAGTCTCCAAATGTCCATCCCCATGCCGTGGGCTCTGCTGCAGGTGGCCCCAGCTTTCTGCCCTGTGTTCCCTCCCCGTGAGAAGGAGCAGGCCCCTCATCTCAGGCCCTCTGGCTACTGGGGAGGGCTGTGTGAGGACCCTGGTCACTGAGGGGTTCGTGTGAGGACCCCGGTCACTGGGGGGCCTCGTGTGAGGACCCTGGTGCCTAGGGGCCGCAGAGTGTATCCTCATTGTTGCTGCTACACAGACCTCTGCCCCACATCCCGAGCTTGGCTGCCTGTGCCCTCAGCCCCTGAGAGCCCACCATGGACAGCCCTCCACATCCAACTTTAGCCTGGGGTGCCTTGCTCTGTGGGCCCCGAACCCAGTTAGACCCGGGGATCACCCTGTTGCTGCCGGCAGGCAGGCTGTGCCCCCCTCACTTGCAGGACTCCCCACAGCTTCCCCAGGCCCTTCAAGGGTGATCACCCTAGCAGAATGCATTCACTCTCACAGAGTCACTCACACACACACACTCACAGGTATATGCACACGCGTCTCCACTTGGACCAGTCAGAGGTGTGCTGCCTTCCCTTTGACAATGGGTCATGGGTGGACCAGCCGCCCAGGAGGGGCTGGGGGGGTGTGGGTGGACCGGCCCTCCTGGGAGGGGTCTCACTGGCTCACTTCTCGCCCCACCCCTGCAGCCCAGCGCTCGGCCCAGGAGCTGCCCCTCGTGGAGAAGCAGAGTGCGGCCAGCGGCCCCGTCCTTGGAGGGAAGAGGATGGTCCTGTCTGGCCACAACTTTCTGCAGGACTCCAAGGTCATTTTTGTGGAGAAAGCACCAGGTATTTCCTCTTAAAACCAGCACTGAGTGTTTGCTGTTTGGCCGTTGGCAGAGGCTGGCTGGCGGGAGAGGGTGCCATGCGCGGTCCCAGGGCCTCCCTGCGTGGCTTCGAGGGGCTGTGGGTGTGGGGCCTGCGTCTGCCCGGCTAGCGGGTGCCTCCTCAGGGGCTCCGACCAGCTCTTGCTGGTCTTTGCCTTTCTCAGAACCACAGACCATCCTAGGCGGGTATCCAGGTGTGCAGTGGGCACGGCAGCCGTGAGGGACCCCACTGGGGCCCAGAGACCTTTCTGTGCCGCTCGTTCTGGTGGCACAGCACCCCGCAGTGCAGAGGGAAACACTGGTTGCTTTCAATGACGGTGGCCCCTGGGGCCACAGCTGCCCATGTGCGTGGGTGTGTGCTTGTACGTGGACCTGTGTTTGTATGCTATGCTGCAGGTCTGAAGGGAAAGGGTCTCTGCTCTCTGGTGTCTGGGGAACCAGGTGACCAGCCTGTCATCGAGCTGCAGGATGGATGCAGGGCATTAGGGGTAGGCATGGGAGTAGGGCTGGGGGAAGCATGGCTCCTGCCCCAGGGCTGCCCGGCCCGCCCCAGCCCACATGCTCATAAGAGTGAGCATGTGGCCTCACCTGTCTCACACCCTGGGGTGTATTTGTAGAGCACGTTCCTTGTGGGGAGCTGGCCTGAGGGGGTCCCGCTGCCCACAGACTGGGAGGGGGTGCCCGCAGGCCGAGTTCCGGGGCCAGTTGCCCAGCTGCTCCTCTGAGGCCCAGTCCAGCTCTTGAGCCTAAAGTAGGGCCCCTGCTGCTCACCGCTAACCGCGGAGGCTCTCAGCCTCCATAATGAGGCTGATTTTGTACAGTCTGCAGGAAACGTAAGTGCTTCAGTCAAAACGGGCTTGAGAGTCTCTCACGTTGACTTGGTTCTGCCTGCACTATTGTGCCTGTGATTGGAAATTATTTTATAGGAGGGAGAAGACGCGCCTTAGTACAGTGGTGGGGGAAGAATTCACATTACCAGAATGCCCCTCTTTGGAGGAGGTGAATTTTGAAATAATTTCAGCGTTTGTGTTCTAAATGTGTGCGTGGGCACCCCCTCCCAGCCTGTGGGTGGCGGGGTCCTCACCATGCTCGGAGTTGTGCGTGGTGGGAGCCGGCCGGTGCCCCAGGCTGTTTCCTCAAGCGATCAGCCTTGACCTCGACCTGGGTGCCATGACAGGACCATGAGGCATCTCCCGATCTCCTCAGCTTATCGTGGACGGCGATGGGCTCCTCGGTCACGGTGGCCTGGTCACGGGTCTCCACAGTGGCCATCCGCTTGCAGCTGGGAGCTGAGTTCCCGGGCACCTGGCTGTCAAACTCACTGGGCTTCCAGGGCTCCCTGACCCCCAGGCGGGCTCAGTGCCACTGCCACTCGCTGCCACACTGGCCTGTCCCCAGCCTGCTGTTTCTGCAGCAGTTCCATGTCTGGTGGGCAGAGGGCGAAAAACCAGTAAGTGGGTGGAAACCAGACGTCCCGCAAACACATGGTGCGTCATGAAAAGTGCGATGTAAACACACAGCTGTGCGTCCTGTCATGTTGTGTCTGCATCTAAACAAAGTTGCTCACACATTTGCATACACATCCATGCCAGTCCTGTGTGTCCAATGTGCATTCTTGGCCGAGCACACATGCTTCCTGACGGGCCTGAACAGTCAGTGGGCTTTTCCTGGTTGACTTTTGGGCGAGAAAGCACTAAAGTCAATTTAGACTGAAAGCCTGGTCATCCTCTAGGCTCCCAAGGAGGTGCCTGGTGTGCTAGAAAGTTCTGTCTTTAGCTGCTACTTGGAGGCAGCAAGGCTAGCATGCGAGTGGTGAGGCTGGGCAGGAGCAGGACTGTGGCTGCCCTGTCGCACGTCAGACGCTGGGTGAGGTGGGTGTTTAGTCACCATGTCGCCTCAGCTGCTCTGAGCAGTGCTTGGAGTTTCTTAAGTGTTTCAAGATTCCTCCTGGCCAGGGCCAGCTATCACCTGTGCCCACCTCGTGTGACTGAGCAGGGTCCCAGAGGAGGATGGCCCTCAGGATGTGGGAGCAAAGGCCCCTCCCGTGGTCATGGGATCCCTCAAAAAGAGCCGTGAAGCAGCCGCTCTCATCTCTGAGATGTTCGTGTTCTCAGCTGCATTCATGGTGGGACTCTCCAGAACCAACCTGCAGTTCTGCTCAGGGCTTAGTGTCCAGCAAGAAACCACAGGGCCTTTCAAAGAGGACAGCTGTGGCCTCTGAGCCAGATGCCAGCTCCCTCAGTGAACATCCCTGAGCATGGGGCCTGGGACAGACTCACTGGGAGGCCTGGCAGGAGCAGGACGCTAAGATGCCCCCCCGCCGTCTCCTGCTGGAGGTCAGGGGGCTCTGTTCAGACTTGTGCACGAGGGATGTACTTGCACACATGTGCGAATATTAAAAAAATATAAAAAACATTTAAATACGAGAACACAGAGTGCCCACATGAAGAGGGATCAGGAGAGACCAGGGATTTGGAGCTTGCATCGCCCTGAGCATTACCAGGTTCTCGATTATGATGCTTGTAGTCAGCGGTGTGCAGCCCAGCCTTTCCACGTGGTTCCTAGAAACTGTGTGAAGCTCAGCAGACCTCACCAGAGCTGGCAGCTTCGGCAGGCAATATGGTTTGCTGCAGCTTGTGCGTGGCTGGACATGGGTGTGGCCCCCAGGGTATCCTCAGTGGACACTGGGCCTCCTCAAGGCCCAGACTCGAGGGGGACCCCTTGGCACTGAGGCTCAGGCAGGTCCTATCTGCCCAGGCTCAGGGCTAAACCACCCAGGGTGTAGACTTGGAGAATCATTAGGTTCAGCGTGACCGCCAGCTACATGATCAGACCACCTCCCTGTCAGACCTCTTCACACCTATTATTGAGGTCCCAAACCCCACGTGGTCACAGACCCAGAAGAGAATATCACGTCCTCAGTCCTTGCAACAGAAGCAGGACTTGTTTCATGCAGGGAAGGCCTGCCACCCACCCAGGATTAACCATCAGGAAACAGCGCTGACCCTCAGTGGGTGGAAAGGAGCCGGGGCCAGGCTCCTCTGGTCCTCAGGAGGCTTTTTCTCACTTTGGGCCTTGGAGCCAAGTGGTCCTTCCACGACCCTGAACTGAATGTTTTCAACAGTCTTGGGGGGTTGTGTTTCCCAAGTGCCTTCAATGAAGAAGGCAGGCAGGTGGGGCCCTGCTGGGGTCAGGGGACCTGGCATCCTATTCCCAGCTCCGCCACCCAGCAAGGTCCTCAAGGAGTGTCCCGTGAGGGCATCAGAACATCACCCTTTGAGGGCCAGAGGGTGCCCGTCCTGCTTGTCGCTCGCTGTGGGCGGCTGTTGGTGTCACGCACGATGCCTCAGTGGGTCTGTGTGCAGCTCATGTGAGTACACATGTGTTCCTCCCCTGGGTGAGGGAGTGATCTTCCTTCACTCGAGAGGCACGTCTGCTTGTCCACCTGGGCGTCAGAGGCAGCACCCCCACCCTGGCCCCGCAGAGGGCTGGAAACCAGCGAGTTTTGGGCAGGGTCAGCTGCCAGGGACCCTCTGGCCTCCGTCCAGCGGGCCCGCTCGGTCCCCACCCTGCAGAGCCTGGAGCAGGACGTGCGGCCGCGGCCCCTCCCAAGGCCCGGCTCCTCCCGCCGGGTGTGGCGGGGAAGCCTTTCCGATGACTCATGCTGCAGGGAATTCCCTAATGACTCGGAATATTTTTACTCCTGGGCTTGCACACAGTTTCCTACTGAGGAGGCCAGCAAGCTCCTGATAAGGCTGGAGCACAAAGGCCCATTCAGGCCCATGGCCTCCCTTCCCATAGGGGCTGCGGCTGCGTTCCACACCCGGTGGCCTCCCAGCAGCTTTGCAGACACGGACACCAGAGGCTGGGGTGCACTGGACCCAGGCCAGGGCAGTGCGAGGAGTCAGCGGTCAGCGGGGTGGGGGCTGCTGGGGAGCATCCCGTGTGGGGGTCCCACACAGCAGGCACCGGCCACCCTGGCTCCTACTCCGGCCTCCTCCTAGAGCAGGACTGCGTGTGCACTTCTGACCACAGAACAGAGACTGGGCCAGAGCACCCAGGCCAGGGTGAGGGACGCGGGAGCCCTGGGCCTGTGAGCCGGACCTCAGTGGCCTCTCTGCCTCTCCCCTTTGCTCTGTGCTCATCTGTCTCTGGCTCTGGGATCTGTGCTTTCAGACGCTGTGACAGGGCTGTGAGCCTGTGCAGGTGGCCAGGCTGGTCGGCTTGCGGACGTTCCTGCACGGTGGGACCGCTGGACCCCAGGCCAGCACTGGAGGGGAAGGCGCCTCCTGCCATGCTTGTCCTCGGTGTGCACGCCTACCACCCACTCCACGCCCGTGTTTCTTCTCATGGCTGTTCCACCTGTGGACCTGCAGCCCGTTCCCAGGAGGCTGGGCTGGTCTCAACCCTCCTGGAGGGTGGGCGATGGACGCTGGATGAAGGGGTCTGTCAACCTCTATGGACCAGAGGTGAAGCAGTTGCAAGGCCTTGCCCCAGCTGTTCAAGTTTTAACATTTAACTGCTGTTTTGGGGGCAATGATGGGCTTTGTCATAAGAAAAATTGTTGTTTTCAAAAGGCACCAAGGACCTGGGAGGCTCGGTTACAAGAAGAGTCATTTTGGTTTCTTCAAACCAGTGGGGGTGGGTGGGGCCCAGTGGCACATCCACAGCGGGTCTGGGCTGTGCCGCGGGAGCCGTGTCCACAGGTGCTTCGCACGGGCACCAGGGACCCTCTGCCGTTTATTGCCTAAGTTGGGGTCACTCCTTCCCTGAGCCCTGCTCTTGGGAGCATCTGCTGCTTGTGGAATGCCGGTGCTTTTAAAGGTGGGGGTGTTCTTTCCGTCTCCTGTTGGTTTTTCCTAGAGGAGAGACGGATGCGGGTCCCCAGGCTCCAACAGTGTTTGATCCCCTAGTGGGTCATCTGCTGGATGCTCTGCACGGGCACTCGGCGTCCCGAGGGGCTGATGTGGACTGGCACGTCCAGGCTTCTCTGTGACTCACATTTCCTCTCTGCTCCGCCCTCCGCCCCTGCCCGGCCAGCACCGCGAGGGAGAAAAAAGCAATGCTGTTTAACTTATTTATAATTTAGTATTTGTAACACACACATTTCTTCTTGGAAAACAGAGAGAAAGCAAAAACTAGACCCAGAACCATTACTAGATGTAATGATTCATTTGGGGAGTGACTTTATAAAAAAGCGCAACGAAGTCTGTGTAGGAGATTGGCATCTGTTAATTCCAAATAACGACCAGGCCTTGTAGGCAAAGCATGCCTGCCAGAGGGGCTTCCTAGCACCTGGAACGTGGCTCCGTCACCCCAGCCAGCGGGTCCCAGGCCTTGCTTCCCTCCAGGGCCTGGCCCAGGGACAATAAGCCCTTTCTTTCACGGGCACTGGAGCCTTTTCATTTTTTCAAACATGCAAACGGCCACGGGGTAAGGTTAAAAATACCTAGTGTTTTGCATTTCTGTGTCCTGATGTGGCAAAGAGTAGTCTCAGAGAGGATTTTCTTATTCAGCCCCCAGATCTCCTGAGCAGGGCAGGACCCATGGCTCTAGGGCCACACTGATTAGAATAACTCTGCTCCCAAGACCCACGAGGGCTCGTCAGGCCCAGGTAATGAGGCCCCAGCTCCCACTGTGTGCACTGCACTCAGGCCCACATCCTAGACGATGGCCTTCCTACCGGGGTTGCCTGCATTCCTCCTGGGTCACTCCCCCTTGGAGTGTAGACCCCTTCCAGGGCTGATGCTAGGGACGCTCAAGGGCTTCCCCCTGCAGAGTGGGGGTCTCCAAGCCCCCACTCCAGACCTGCAGTTAGGTCTGTTCGAGCTTCTCCCCTGGGGAGACCAACTCTCTGGTTGGTCAGTCACGCAGGGACCCACCCCCCCATCAGCTGCTGCTGAGCCGGCTGGGCAAGTGTGGGTCCTCTCATTGCAGGACTCTCATCTGCCTATGTCCAGGTGCAATTTGGGGGCCGCCCCGTCGGGACAGAATAACAGACTTCCTGAACCCTTTCTTGCAGATGGCCACCACATCTGGGAGATGGAGGCAAAAACCGAAGGAGACCTGTGCAAGCCGGTGAGTGTGGGCCAGACAGGTGGCTGTGGGGGCCCGGGGAGTGGACAGACGGCCTCGGGGGCCACGGGCTCTCTGGGGGGACTCTCGACTTCAGAGGAGCTCCTGGCCCAAGGTGCATGGCTTCTGATTTGTTGCAGTGAACCAGGGATGAGCATACAGAGAGAGTGAGGAGTAGAAACGGTTGTGTAGCACAGGGAGCAGACAACGCAGACGCGGGGTAACTGCAGAGAGCCAGGCATCGCCTGGGCTGCCCACCCCCACCAGGTAGACCAGGTGCACGCACATGCCCAGAGCCTGCGGTCTCCTCTGGCCATTGTCACCAGGGACCCCAGACTTGCTGCCCTCCGGGAGGACCCCCTCTCCGGAGGCTGAGCCCTGCCCCTCACTGCCTGTCCATGCGGGCCCAGGGTTTCCGTCAGCGTCCTTGGTTCCTCATGGGCTGTTCTTCCAGCTGGACACAAGCTCAAGGTCAGATCTAAGTGCTGCTCCACCTGCTTGTCCTGCTGGCCTGGGTGACCTGCAGGCCTGAGGTCCGCTGTGCACACCTGCCCTCTGCAGGGCCCGGGGCCTGCCGGTGCCCATCTGTACACTCAGCCTCCATGGTGTTTGTGGCTGCTCACACCCAAGGAAGAACTGGGGGGGCCTGAGGGAGAACCAGGAGGGAGGCCTGAGGGAGAACCAGGAGGGGGGCCTGAGGGAGAACCAGGGGACCTGAGGGAGAACTGGGGGGGCCTGAGGGAGAACTAGGAGGGCCTGAGGGAGAACCAGGGCAGGTGCTGAGGGAGAACCAGGGCAGGTGCTGAGGGAGAACCAGGGGGCCTGAGGGAGAACCAGGAGGGGGCGTGAGGGAGAACCAGGGGGCCTGAGGGAGAACCAGGGGGGCCTGAGGGAGAACCAGGAGGGGGCGTGAGGGAGAACCAGGGGGCCTGAGGGAGAACCAGGAGCGGGGCCTGAGGGAGAACCAGGAGGGAGCCTGAGGGAGAACCAGGGGGCCTGAGGGAGAATCAGGAGGCCTGAGGGAGAACCAGGGAGCCTGAGGGAGAACCAGGGGGCCTGAGGGAGAACCAGGGGGCCTGAGGGAGACTGGTGCCTTCTTGGCGTGTTTTTGTCTGAAGTCGGCAGCAGCTTCTCCACTGACATGGTGCGCCCTTCGGCCTGCCTCTTTGTTTTGTAAGAATGGCCAGCACAGCAGCCCTGTGCTCTCGCCCACACTCCGTCCTTGCCTTCTGGTTGGGGTGTGGAGACAGTGTGTCTGAAGTGTTTATTGATGGGTTGGAGGTGGACAGCACCTCCAAGTGTCTGTCTTCCTTTGTCCTCACAGAGCAGGAGGAACCTTCAGGTAACATAATGCACAGGCTGGCAAGTGATTTTTTTTGACTTTTTAAAAATTCTTTACATTTAAAACTTTAAATTTATTTATTTTAAATGAAAAAAGATGAATTTTTTTTAATGATAAAAGGTACAATTCACAAAGATAGACATTATAAACCATTAGACACCTAACAGCAAAGAAACAAAGATACATAAAGCAAAAATCAGAAGAAATATAAGGGAAAAGAAAAAATATATAATCACTGTAAGACATATTAGCATTTTTCTGAGAATGTTTTATCAAGTGCAGAAAAAATAAGAGTAAGAACATCTTGAATGAGGTAATAATTTAAATATAATAGATTTATATTTAATAATTTTATATTACTCTTACATCCTACGGTGATTTTTTGAAGTTCAGAATCCCTCCAGTCTTTCTCCCTCGTCCCTCTGGTCCCTCTTGATGGTGGCATGTGGACGGTCCATTCCCGAGAGCACAGGCAGTGGCAGTCATTGTTCAAAGTCTCATTCATGAGAAGGACTGAATTTTCTTCGTTGGCTGGAAGGTTTGCAGATGTGATCCTGGTGCCCTCTGCCCTGTGTCTGGAATCTCCTCCCTCCACACAGGTGGCTTCATCAGGAAGAAGCATCTTATTGTTGTTCAGCTGCTAAGTCATGTCCAACTCTTCGCAACTCCATGGACTGCAGCACACCAGGCTTCCCTGTCCTTCACCAACTCCCAGAGCTTGCTCAAACTCATGTCCATTGAGTGGATGATGCCATCCAGCCATCTCGTCCTCTGTTACCTCCTTCTCTTTCTACCTTCAATCTTTCCCAATATCAGGGTCTTTTCCAGTGAGTCAGCTTTTTGCATCAGGTGGCCAAAGTACTGGAGCTTCAGCTTCAGCATCCAGTCCTTCCAATGCATATTCAGGGTTGATTTCCTGTTAGATTGACTGGTTTGATCTCCTTGCTCTCCAAGGGACTCTCAAGAGTCTTCTCCAGCACCATAATTTGAAAGCATCAATTCTTTGGCACTCAGCCTTTTTTATGGTCCAGCTCTCACATTCATACATGACTACCCCAAGCATCTTTACCTGTGACTTTAGCTTCCTTTTCCAAGCACTGCTCCATTTACAGAAACCTTTCCAAATGGTGTCAAGGGAAACCTTTCCTCCCAGGCCCAAGGAGGACACCTGTATCCCCCTGTCACCACCACCCCCCAGGGTGTCCAGGCCTCTAACCTCACACACTGCCTCACGGCTCCTCCTTGTTCCCTTGGAGAAGTGTTGCTGGCATAGGAACTCCACTTCTGGACAAGGACTCTAGGCCCCACAGGCCCCGCGGTTACTGAGGTGGACCTCGGGTTTACCATGACCAACAGCAGCTGCTGGCGGTCACGCCGAAACAGAGGCCCTTGGCTCCAGGTTCCAGCCCCACTGTAGGCCCAAGTCCTCTGCCCCCGGGCCACCCACCCCTTCTCCCTGGGCAGGAAGGAGAGGCCAGAAGAAACTGCATTTTTGGCATCGAAATAATTCCGCCAAGTTGCATGTTCAGATTTTCCGTTGTTGGGTTTCCTTTTCCACTGTGAACAGTGCATATTTTAAAGAAAACTTAACCATTATCAGTCGTGTGTTCTGAGAGAAAAGCATGTGAACAGCAATGTGCTTCAGGTTTACGGTTTCACCTTTCTTATCTCTTAAATGAAGTTTACTTTCATATATTTCTTCTAATTATGAAAGAGTGCCATATTCATTGTGGAAACTTGGAAGATATTAACAAAGTATAAAAAGGAAAACGCCTAGTGAAATTTCAGTGGGATGTGGCCACCATTAATATGTGGGCGTATTTCCTTCCACCCTTTTCCTGTCATGGGCGTGTATCTACACGCACACACACATACATACACATTATACATTTCAACAAGGCTGGGTGGCACTGCGTGTGTGGTTTATGTATGACCTTAAACTGTATACAGTTGGTATGTATCTACACACACACACATACATACATATTATACGTTTCAACAAGGTTGAGTGGCACTATATGTGTGGCTTATGAGTAACCATGAGCAGTGTAGACAGTGGGCATGTATCTACATAACACATGTACATACACATTATACATTTCAACAAGGCTGGGTGGCACTGTGTGTGTGGTTTATATACAACCATGAGCAGTGTAGACAGTGGGTTTTCTCAAAGTAAGTGGCATGGAGGTGCTAAGTGCCGTTTGGACCCCTCGCCCTGGTGCTGGAGAGACAGGTTTCCCTTCTGACCTCTACCCTCACTGTGCATTTAGTGCGTCATCATGATTTAATAACCTGTCCAGCGTATCAGTCTGTGCCCACATCTAAATACAGTCTTCCAGTCACTTGGAACAAAGAGTACCCGACCCCCCGATATGGAACCTGCTGAAGGTTCCTTGCCCCACCGGGCATGTCCCGGTGCGTCTCTGCAGCCATTCCTGCGTCCCAGCTCTGGTTCTGGTCTCGACTTGAGCAAGCCCTCTACCTTTCTGCTGTTGACTCCAATGTCTTCCGTCATTGAGCACCAGCTGTGTGCGCGATGCCAGCATTACCTGCAGTCCCCTCCTCAGACCACCACCCCGAGGAGCATCTTCCTTGTCCTTTCCCATGTGCCAGTGGTGGAGCGAAGACTTGGAGAGGTCAGAGCCTGGGCTGAAGCGCAGGCCTGTCCAGCCCAAGTCGGGCTCCCGGACACGGGCTGCGGGGCTGGGACACAGACTTGGCAGAGGTGCAGCCCCGGTAGGAGTCTGACTGAGCACACATGCCCTTGCAGGGTCACCCACCCTTTGCTCCACTGGCTCTGTCTTGTTCCAAACAGGATGAAGTTATTAAAACAACAGAAATGCAGTTTCTGACCCACATGTGGTCACAGGAGATAGAGCCCAGAGCAGGCTGCAGGCCTGGTCCTACCACCACCCGCCCTCCCGCCAACCAGATGCCCTTAGCAGACTGTGCCTCATGTTTTAATCTATAAAGGGAAGAGTTGCCCTGAAGTTCTCACTTTTCTGTTTAAACTTTCTTAAGATTTCATTATTAACTGGATTGAATCAATTTTGCTGTTAATTAGGTAATAGGCTACAACAACTCTTTAAAAAAAAGTGATGCCACGGATTTTTCTTCTACATTTTCCTCTTGTTAACTGAAATCGTATGATAAAAATCATTGAAGAAACCTTTTAGGATGTGAAATCTTGCCCTACCCGACCCCCAAAATCAGGGCCCCTCTTTGGGGCTGAGGCTGGGCCCTCATGTAGATGGCCGGGCACCTGAGCACATGGACCCTCCCTGCTTCCTTCCCCAACACACGCTGGCCCCGCCCCAGTGACTCCTCTGTGTATCTGTACTTGAAAGGGGGCAGTTTAGTGCAGATGTTGCTGATCATTAATTTAAAACCTGGAAGGGTAACAACAGCCTCCATAAACCCTTGGTCCATCATGCCTGCCAGTCCACCTTCCAGTCCCCGTCCATTCTTGGGGTCCTGGCTCGGGCTTTGGGCCATTGGCACAGAGTGTCTCCAGGGGGCACTTGCCCTGGGTCTCTGCTGCCAGTTACCTGGACAGGTGCTCCTGGCTCCACCTGCAAGTCAGTGCCTGGGGGCTTATTAGTTTCCTGCAGGTCATGCTTGGGTTTGGGGGCAGAAAGGCGTGGGGTCCTGCCCAGTGGCTGGTCCCCTCTTGGCACCTGTGCTCAGGGCTTCTCTCCTGGACTCAGTCGGCGGCATCTTAGATGAAGCCCCTGCCTCCTCCCCGGATGCTCCCCTCAGCCCTCTCTGGGCTCTGGCCTTGCAGGAGCCCAGGGCCTCAGGCTCTTGGGCCAGCCTCTCCAGGGAGAAACCTGCGCCTCTCACTCTTGGGGGCGGGGGGTGGGTTGCTGGGTGTGTCCCTGGCTTGTGAGTTGCTCACTGCCCTCGCCCACCTCTTTCTGTCTAGAACTCGCTGGTGGTGGAAATCCCGCCTTTCCGCAACCAGAGGATAACCAGCCCTGTGCAGGTCAACTTCTACGTCTGCAATGGGAAGAGGAAGCGGAGCCAGTACCAGCACTTCACCTACCTGCCTGCCAATGGTAACGCTCTCTTTCTAACCGTAAATGCTGCCAACGAACCCACGGGGTGCTTTTCCTAAAAGAAAATCAGGGACCCTGATGTTTCAGTCGCTTCAAACTGTGTGGTCGCGCTGTGGGCCCAGCCATCGTGTCCTGTTAGCAAGATCTCGTCGTTGGTTCCTTCCAAACAGAAGTGGAGCTTTTGGTGTGCTTTCCTTCATTACTGTGGGAGTGGGGCTGCACTTGGGGGTGATTACTGATCCTTTGGAGGCTGCTTGCTGATGTGAAACCGCCAAGGGGGCAAGAAGGTGCAGCTGTTTTGTTCTCAGAAGCTGATGAGGTGGCCTCGGCATGAGTTAAATTCTCGAGATGCTTAAGGTGGAAATGCAAGTAGTTGTCATGATTTTGCAGGTGCTTGAGAAATAAACCTGAGGCCTGAGGCTGGTGACTGGTGTGGTCATTCACTAACATGATGGTTCCGTCCCCAAGCTGACGTCCCACATAAAACTCTCAGCTGGAAAATTGCCTCTCCCCTTGACCAGGAGGCTCTCACCCCCAAACACCCTTTGTTGTTGTTGTTCAGTCGCTCAGTCGTGTCCGACTCTTTGCGACCCCATGGACTGCAGCATGCCAGGCCTCCCTGTCCTCCGCTATCACCCGCAGTTTGCTCAAGTTCATGTCCATTGAGTTGGTGATGCTATTTCACCAAACACCCTTTACTTAAGTAAAAACACCTTGTTCACATGGTCCATTCACACACTTTGAGGGTGGTTTCTCGTTCTAAAAAGGCCTGTTTGCACCTGTTCCACGTTCCAGGCTATTCTCTTAAGGAGAGCAACACTGTTGTTGCTTCACCCCTGAACTTGTAGGCAGTTGTTTCCCAGCAGAGCTCAGCCCTGCAGCCTGGTGCCCCAGCCCCTGCCACCTCCTCCAGGCAGGCAGGTCTGTGTCCAGAGAGGACCTAGTCCTGATTCTGTTGTGTCATGTAAGCGCAGCTGTTATACTGTGGCTTTTGTTCTCAAGACTTGAGAGATCCCTATAATCTAAGAGGGAAATCACATACTTAGAACTAATTGCAAAAGCAGTTATATCCTTATGAAGATATTTTTAGAGGCTTTAGTTTTTCTGTAAATGTGAAACCCTCTGTGTTACAATAGACTAGGTGACAGAAAGCCCTAGAAAACCTGTTTGGCCATCAGACAGTAGAATTAACTGTTTTCCGGGAAACCAGTAGCCAAGGCTTTCCAGGTTTGAACAACGTGGTTTTGCTGTAAAGTCACCGTGTCACAAGCGTGCACATGGACAGAACCGCAGGAACACGTGCTGCCGTGGGCCTGTGCACGAGGAGAACATCTGCCCTCCTGCCCTGGGCCCATCTGCACATCTGTGGTCAGTACTGGGTGCACCTCGCAAGTCCTGCCTGCTGTTGGACACAGTACTGCAGCCCTGGTGGCAGAAATATTCAGTGTTGACTTGAAAATGTAACAATCATGTCCTAATTAAAATTCAAGTATGGTTGATTAAAAATCGAATGTTATAAAGAAAAATCACTTTCTGAAACAGTTTAGAAACTAGTTCGAACATCATTTCCTACATTTCACTCCAGGTTCACCTCCCACTAACACAGATGCTCCAGTGTTCGTGGGGCCTGTGCAAGAGCCAGGCCGCCCTTCAGATGGGGGTACTGAGGCCCCCAAAGAGATGTTGCTGCGGTCATGGGCGGGGCTGTCTTGGGGCCCCCATCTCCCCTTCTCTGCAGCCATCGTTCAGTCCTGCAGGCCCCTCCACCAGCCCCTGCTTCACACCCCTTCACCCCTATGTCTGCCCAGAATGCCCCTTTCAGTTGGTGACCCTGCTCCACCCGCAAATTCTCTGTCCATCCGTCTGTCCATCCAGAGCATGGCCATGTGGCCTGGTCTCCCTTCACATCTCTCCTGGACATTTGCTTCATCCCCAGAGGCCAAGGGGGCCATGCCACCCGCCCCTGGAGCTCAGCCCTGCCCACCTTCCTGACCCAAGAAGGGTCTCCATGCCCCAAGGGGCTGTGATCACAGACACCACACTGAACTGCAGGTTCCCTGTGAGCAGCCCCCAGGCAGCCCGGACTCCTTAGCAAATCACAGGGGCCATCCCTATATGTATGGTTGTTTTCCTTTTCAAAAAAATAAAATAAATGCATGAATGAAAAAACAGAATTCAAGTTTCCAGTTTTGGGTTTGGTGTTCTTACCATTGTCACTGCCTCCTTCAGCTTCAGGCTGAGTCTTCACAACAGTGGTGCTGCTGAAGGGGGCGGGTGGGCAGAGCCCCACATCCCCACTCCTTCCCCACATCTTGTCTCAACCCTGCCCTCACCCCTGGAAGCCTTGACCGCAGGGAAACCCACCGCAGCCCCCTGCCCCCTGCCGTCCGCCACATCACGTTAGCATCAGCTGTTCAGCCTAGAAGGGAGTCCTGGCTGCTGGCCTGCGTGGGGCCCAGGCAGTTTGGGTCCCTTCCCTGGTGGCTCAGACGCTATTGCATGCTCCTGCAATGCTGGAGACCTGGGTTCAATCCCTAGGTCAGAAAGATCCCTGGAGACCACTCCAGTGTTCTGGCCTGGAGGGCTACAGTTCATGGGGTCGCAAACAGTCGGACACGCCTGAGTGACTTTCATTTTCATTTTCTTTCCCTCATGGAGAGGAGTCTACAGCTGTGGTGGGACACTCAGGGCAAGCAGAGTGGGCAGGGCTGGGCTTTGTGCAGGCTCTGGGTGAAGGTCAAGGGCAGAGCAGAGCAGACATCCGGGCGCTTGTGCTGCAGACACACCGTGTGCGGCCGGGGCGTTTCCCTCTGGTTGGCCACCGTCTGGGTTTAACTCACAGTCTTCTGAAAGGAAGCGTGCAGTCTCTGGGGTAACTAAGCTGAAGACCCTAGTCCTGTCATGGGACTGAGACCTTCTGGGGAACAGTGATGGTCCTGAAGTTCCCATGCACCAGCTGTGTTAAAGATGCAAAGCAGCTTGCCTGTGGGGGGCGGCCCCTGAGTCTGGGGGATGGTGGTGTCCACTTTAGCTGTGTCCCTGGGGCTTGCGTTCTTGGCGATGCCTGGTGCCCCTTGGACAAGCAGCCCACACTCAGGGAAGAAGCCCAGCTAATGACCGCAGGATCACAGAAGGAAGTCTGCATGCTACTAAGTTGAGAGTCCAGCAGAGCCTGGGGTCTAGAGATAACTTTCTCTCCATCTGAGATGCTTCTAGCTATTCCCCAGACTGCCGGCCATGGTGCCCAGCCCCCTGTCTACCTGTTGCTCAGGCCATGAGGGTCCTTGAGCTTCGCGGGGATCGCGAGAAAGTCCTAGGGACACTCAGGCACCCACGTGGCCTCCGCTGACAGAGAAGCCAAGGGCCTGAGGCCGAGGGTCGCACACTTGCTGGGTTCAGGTCAGCCGGGTGGCCGTGACTGGTGGCCAGAGTCACAGGCAGGCAGCCATCCCACCCGGGCCGTCAGCGCTGCGACCTTGCCTCACAGCCAGCTCTGGGCTGACCTTTCCACTGGGCGTCTGGCTCATCTTTCCCCGAGTTCATGGCGCTGACATTCCATCCCGAGTACTGACCTCCCAGAAGCCAGTGTGCACACCCGGCAGTGACCGAGGAAGGCGCCTGTCTCCCGAGCTTCGGGGGCCGCCCCCGGGCCACCCTCTGACCACTCCTGTGAGCTGGGCCTCACGGGCACCCACTGTTCAGCATTCTCTCAGGTCGCAGATCCCAGTGGGCCCCCATGTCCCCTCCCACCCCGTGTCACAGCTGTGTCTTCATGGCCTTGACCGCAGGGAGCCGTGCCTCTGATCCTGAGACACGTGTGTGCACAGGCCATGTCGCTTGCTTGGAGCAGCTGTGTCCAGAGCTTACTGAAGCCAGGGCTTCAGTCTGTCTCCGTCCTTCGCCCTGAAGGCCCTGGGCTGAGCTTTCTCACCTTGTCTCCCGTGGGAACGGGGGGCCCAAGAGACGGTGCAGATAGACCTCTGTCCACACCAGGACCCGGCTGGCCTCGCCTCATCTCAGAGGACCCGTTGGCCTCCCGGCCAGGCAGGTGCTACAGCATTCCCCCCATGCAGGCGGAGGACCAGGGGTGTCCGTCCTGGGCCTACAGCCCCTAAACTTCCGCCCGAAGGCTGAGTGGAGCTGCATGGGGCCGGGTGCAGGTGGGAGAGTGGTGGGGGGAGAGCCGCTGTGGTCGGTGGCCTGGCCAGTCCTGGGAGCTTGCAAGTCAGCTCAGCCATGTGGCCAGGGTGCCGTGTGGTGTGGGGGCTCGTGCGGGCACCTGGCTAGGCTTCTCCTGCTGTCACTAAACCCCAGCTTTGTGGGCTCCCTCACAGCTCCAGCCGGGGACGAGGGATCCCTGTTTCCAGCTCTTTCCACGTTAAACCTGCTGCACAGGGGAGCTGGGAGCTGGCCGCCTGTGTGTCCAGGGCCCTGCTGCCGGCCCCAGAGGGACGAGTTGGGGGAGGGGGCTTGGACACTCCTTGCTGTGGGTCTGGCCTGCGTGCCACTGGCCTTGGTGTCTGGACCTGGTGGTGGAGAGCCCAGGTGTTTGGTGGGGACTGGAGACTGTTCACCTGTAAAGGCCTTCACGGGGTCAGCACCATCAGCTGTCTTGACCGCCGACTGCTTCAGGCTGTTGCCCGGCCTCAACTCTGCAGGGAGGGGTCTGAGCTTAGAATGGAGTAAGGATGGGGGAGGGTGAATCGGGGGCTTGAACTGGTGGGAACGAACGTGGGCGCCCTTTCCGTGGGGGTCTGGGCCAGGAGCCCAGTACAGCCACACCAGGCCTCCCCTGCAGAGACCATCACATACGGCGGAATGAGGGGGTGGAGGGTGGACAGCGAGGGCCACCAGCCACCGAAACCTGAGGCAGCCTGAGTCAGGCGTGAGGCTGGGCCCCCAGGCACAACCTTGCGGAGCAACTTGGCAACTCCTGGTCCCAACGAGGTGCTCACACAGAGGTCACCCCAGGCCGGCCCCTGGGCCCCGAATGAGTCACAGCCCCAGACGCACAGTTGCCTGGACCAAATGCGGGAAGGTGAGCCACGGTCCTTCTGACGCAGCTTTCGCGGCACCAGGTAAAACCCAAAAGTGACCCGCTTGTTGGTTCGTTTGGTCTGTTCTGCCCGCCATCCATCGTCAGCCCAATCAGTCGGATCCCCAGGCCGGGTCGACCCAGCAGGGCCATCGCCATGGATGGCCAGGCCACCTCACAGCTCACACCCCACATGTCTGCCTTAGAGCCGTGAAGCCAGTCCATATCAGCGTGCCTGAGCCTGCGGTCGCTCTGTCTCTTGGGGTCCCCTTGGTGCTCCTGCAGAGCTGCCAGGCGGCACCCCCAGGATGGCTGGGGGGACCCGGAGAGGATCGGCCTCCTGCCCCATCGGGCTTGGCTGGAGCTCCTGGCAGCACGGACCTGAGGTCTCAGTGCCTGCCATGGTCGTGAGGTTCCGCCCCGAGCCAGGAGCTTGTCCTCTGGGACCCGGGACCTGGCACAGGTGTGTGGGGAGGCCAGAGCTTGTGCGCAGAGGAGGAAATGTTGCTCTTGCCGTTGTGGGCTTGAGTCCCCTAGTCCTCTGGTCCGGCCGCCCACCCCCACGGTTCCCTTCTGTCCTGGACTCGTACAGAGGTGCCCGCCCACCGAGGCTGGCAGCTCGGGCAGCTCCCCTGCCCACGATTCCTGCTTCAGAAACCATGCCCTGAAGTTATCCTGTGGGTGTCTGTTCACGGCTTGAATGTCATGTAACAAACAGAAGACAGTTTGGGCTTTGCTCTCTGGGTGGACAGCCTCTCCTGTGCAGGTGGGGGCGGGAGGGGCTCACGGAGCGTCCTCACCACAGGCTGGGCTCACGCCCATGCTGCCCTCAGGAGGCTCTGCAGGCGCAGGGGCCGCGTCTCCAAGAGGTCCCAGCCCGCCTGGGGAGGCTGCAGTCAGCTCAGGTGCTGGGGGTGCCAGATCGGGGGGGAGGGGGCTGGCCCACCTGGCTCACAGATGCCCCTGCCTCAGTGTGTTCCCCTGTGTCCCCCCAGTGTCCCCCTCACTGTGCCCCCTCCCTGTGTCCCCCATGTCTCCCTCACCGTGTGTCCCCTCACTGTGTCCCCGTGCGTCTCCCGGGTCAATGGACAGTGAGACCCTCTCTCTGTACCACGGCCCCACAGCATCGGCGCTCTCCTCTCACTGCCCCGCCTCCTCTCTGCTGTCTGCCTCCAGACGCCGTCCCCAGGCTCGGGGTCTCGCCGCCTGGCACCCGTGTGGGGCAGGTCCGCTGGCAGCAGCCCTTGGGCTGTGGGCTCAGCCCAACCCCGGCTCCTCCTGCGCAGTGGGAAACCTCGGTCCCCTCCTAACTGGACGTCACCTGACCGGGGGGACCATGCCGCCGGCAGGTGCTTCCAGGGCCGAGCCCACCCACCCACGTGCGGTGTGGACACTGGCCATCCTCCCGGGTCTGTCCATCAGGAAAGCGCCTCTTCTCTGCCTCCGTCACTCTTCTTGTCCATTCATCTCTATCTGGATGCCGAGCCAGGTGTCTTGAGGAGAGCGGGCAGGTGTGCCAGGACCCCACCTCTGCCGCACGCTGCCTGGAAGTGCCCCCTGGGCTGACTCACTGGGTTCCGTCTCAGTCACTGTCCCGGGACCGTGCGGAGCCCCCAGGGTGGGCAGCAGGGGGGTCATCTCCTTGAGTACACAGGAGTTTCTTCCCAAAGGGCGCCGTCGAGATGGCCTTGTGCTGGGGCTTCAAGGCGGGGGCGACCCCGGTGTGCAGACACGGGAATACGTCTGAGCGAGGAGGCCCTGCTCGGCCGGGTCACCGAGAAGCCGGAGCTGGGGGCTGCGGGTGCGGGGTTGCAACCTGGGTCACGTCCACCCAGTGTGGTGGGGACTCCAGGACCCCACAGGCTCACGACCTGACGCCAGTGCCCGCGGCTGCATAGACGCCCGCCAAGGCAGGCAGACCAGCCGCGGCATTTCCCCACAGCACCTCCAGAGCAGGTGGGGCGGGTGGGGGGCTGGTTAAAGCATTCTAGGGGCACCTGAGGAAGGAGGTAAGCCCGCCCTGGTGCCAGGCTGAGGACCCGGCATGGGAGGGAAGCCCCGAAGGTGTTGGCTTAACCTACCAGACGTGCTACTCTGAGGCCCCAAGCCCTGCAACCGTAACTGGAGCCATCCGGGCCGTGCGTGTGCCGGAGCGGCCGCCGGGCTTGTCGGGTGATCTCAGCGCCATTGCTGCCCGGTCGGAAGGCCCCACCCCAGCGCGCCCCCTGCCACTTCCGATTGTCCTGCTGCCCCGCTCACTAGGCAGCATGGTCCGTGGAGCCACAGCCTGGAGCCCGGACCACCCCAGGCAGGTGGCCGGCTCCCGGAGTGGCCTCGCCCGCACAGGAGCCGCCTCACACTGGGCTTCTTGGCCGGCAGCAGGTAGGCGCATCACGGGTTCTGTGACCCGTGGGACTGGCGCCTCCGTCAAGGCACCTGGCCCGCTCTCCCCACCGCCTCTCTGGGATGTGGGGCTCAGGGCAGGAGCCCCAGTCAGGAGGCATGCAGGGCTCAGACCCAGTCAAGACATCTCCTGAAGTGGCTTCCACGTGGGGCCCCAGGCTGGAGGAATGGTGCTTACTGCAGAAGCCCTGGACTGTGGCTGCCGCTGACCACAGGCATGCAGATTGGAGGGGAGGGGTTGCCTCTGAAAGTGGTTCTGCGCACGCGCTCAGACATGGGGCCCACAGGCACACCAAACCTTGGGGACCCAGCCTGGACTCGGAACAGTCCCGGGCCCAGCACGTGCCCTCCCCTGGGGCTGGCGGTCTCTGCATTGGGCTGTGTCCAGGTGGGGAAGTAGCACACCCACTTGGGAGGGGTGGGGCTTGCAGACTCACCTACGGGCTGTGGGAGACCCGCCAGAAGGGGCACATGGAGTCTCGGGAAACCCGCATCCACAGGGCTGCAGGAGACCCGCAAGAAGGAGGAGACGGGAGTCATGGGAAACCAGCACCCTCGGGGCCACAGGAGACCTGAAGGAAGGGGGACACAGAGTCACGGGAAACCCACACTCACGGGACCATGGGAGACACGTACCCATGGGAGACCCACAGGGCTGCTGCGGGAACCAGGACCTGCGGGTGTTTCCCGACGTGCGATCCAACTAGGACAGCTGGCCCTTCTCCGTGTCTGACTGGCAGCCAGTGAGGCATCCCTGAATCCTGCCCCATGGCGTCTGGAGCCCCTCACACAGAGCTCTGGCCAACTATGCGCTCGAGAGAGAAGTCTCTCGCCCAGCAAAGGACCGCGAGTGCGGCGTGGGCACCGGGCAGGCCAGGGCTGCAGGAGTCGGCCTGACAGATGGAGACCGACCAGCACCGGGAGTGAGGATGCCTGCCATGCCCACACCTGCCATGCTGGACGCCTGCTGTCCAAGGATGCCGGGACACCACAGCTTTCCACCCGACATGACTTTGGGGATGTGAGTGACCACCCTGGCTCTGCCTGCAGGAGGCTGAACGGTGGCCATCACCCGCTGTGCTTCTCCCTGGCCTTCCAGCTGCAGCACTGCCTGGGGACCCAGTGCCTCCCTGCCTGCACAGGCGGGAAGAACAGAAACAGGGCTGGGGATGGGCCACAGGGAGGGCAAGACCGAAGAGAACGACTCTGCTGGGCATCCCAGGCACAAGCCGGGACCTGGCAACACTGAGTGGGGTCATGCGCTCTCACGTCATTGTCCCCGGGTCTCAGCCACGCGGCCACGGCACTGCCCAGGCACACTGTGGATGGGCTTCGGGAAAGCCAGTCCTGGTCCTCCAGACTGCTGTGGGTTGCAGGCACCAGCCGTAACAGAGAACAGATGTGCACCCGCACCGACTCGAGACTGTTACAACAAAGCTGCGTCTGAGAGAGGACCTTTATTTACTTAAGGCAGAGGCTGGGTGCGTGGAGGCCCACAGGCTGGGATGGTGAGGGGCGTTCCCTCCACGCGGCCCACCCCGCCGCCTGGAGGCCAGCAGCACACACATGAAGAGGCGAAGACATGATCAGGAGGGTCTGGTGACAGTTTGCTGTCCTTCCTCCATCCGCGCACGGCAGCGCCAGGCGTCTGTTGTGAATTCAAGTGTGCTGTCGCCAGTTGCTCTCCGGGGAACGCAGCCATCAGGGTGTCCCTTGTGAACGTGTGCGTAAGAGGCAGGAACCAAGGAGAAATGAGACACAGGAAATGAGTGGGCGGGTGGGGTGGCCGCGGTGGAGCCCAGCCCACCACAGACCCAGGGCACGGGGCTCAGTGCCATCGGGACCTGGTCAGGCCCACAACCTGGAGGGAAGGAAGGGACCGTCCATTGCCTGTGGTGCCACTTCCCAGCCTGACTTTCCGCACCCTGGGGGTACCAGAGGCACTGCGAAGGACCCTGTGGCCATAGTCATGCGTTTTCCCCTGGGAACGAAGCCGTGCGCGGGAAGGAGGGCTGGCATTCTTGCTGGTGTAAAATCATTTCCTTGTCTAGCGAAGGCTTCTCTCCTGCAGCAAATGGACACTCGCCTTTTCTGTTGGATTTTTACTGACCTCTGAGCGCCATCTTACTCTCTACTCAAGTTCACCCCATGTCAGACATTTATCAGATAGGATGTCGGTAGCAGCAGAAACACAGTAGTACATCCAAGTTAAAATTTTCACTTTGATTGCTACAAATCCACAGGCCCTTGGGTCCAGGCTTCTGCTGCAGCTCGCAGATGGGTTTTTATAGCACATTAGTGCCGCAGGAGAATCCAAGGAAAACAGTGCTCTCGGCCTGAGAACCAGCTGCAGCTCTCCCGAGCCGATGACTCACGCCCTCGTTTTAATTGGGTGGGAGAACCAGGCAGGAGACACACAGGGACTCAGTCAGAGCACTGTTTGTTTTCGGAGGGTATCCTAGCCACAAGCCCGCCCCGGCGCTCCCATCTGCAGCTCATGTTTATTTAATTTTTTTTTTCCTCCTCGCAGTTCCAATCATAAAAACGGAGCCCAGCGATGATTACGAGCCTGCCCTCACCTGTGGACCAATGAGCCAGGGCCTGAGCCCGCTCCCCAAGCCTTGCTACGGCCAGCCGCTCGCCCTGCCACCCGACCCGGGCGCCTGCCTCATGCCCGGCTTCCCGCCCCGTCCGCAGGGCAGCGCCAGCCCCGAGCTCCACGACCTCTCCTGCGCCCCTTACGGCTCGGCCACAGCCGGCCCTGGCCACGGCCCCCTCGGACTTCCGCGGCAAGTCGGCGGGGTCCTCGCCAGCCAGGAGGCGCTGAGACCCTCGGGCGTGCCTCCCGGGCCCCCCCAGCCACCGCCTCCCAGTCTGCTGCAGCCACAGGTGAGTCCGACGTCGAGCGGTAGCTGCTCCCCGGGGTGCCGGCCAGCGCTCTGTCCCCACAGCCCCTCCTCTCCGCTGCCGCCCGGGACCCGAGAGCCGACCCGCCTGCAGTCCTGTGGCCCAGCGCGCCCCTGCGGGACGGGCCGCCAGCAGCACCAGCCACCCGAGGTTCCGAGCAGCGAGCCCACCACCGCCCGGCCCCCGCCGCCGCCCGAGGTGCGTGAGGACAGTAATCGTAGTCTGGCCCCCATTCCCGTAACGGTCAAGCGAGAGCCTCAGGAGCTGGACCCGCTCGACCTGGACGACGGTAAGTGCCCGCCGCAGCAGGCGCACGCCCAGCCCTGGGCTGAGGGGCCCCGGCCTGGAGTGTGCCCACTGCCCTGGGAGTGTGCCTACTGCCCTGGGAGTGTGCCTGGCGTGTCTCACGCCAGAAGGTCCCGGCGGTCAGCAGTGCCACCGTTGGCCAGTGGGGGACGCCATCCCCGCCTAGCAGCTGCCTGTGCTGTGCATCCTGGGGGCACGTGGTCCCTGTGGCGATGTCAGCTGTGCTGACCACGGTCCCTAGAACACGGCCTCCACCAGCTGAGATGTCCCATGAGGACAAGAGGCCTCTTTGGACTGGGCTGTGGGCCCTGCTTGTTGCTTAGCGTCTGAAGTGCCTCTGTAGTTGCATGAACCATCATTAAGTGGTTAAATAGCTAAAAATGAGCGGCTTTCACTCTGTTCAGCTTGGGAAACCTTGTGTTCTGTGCGTGTTTGCTGTCATGTCCAACCCTTTGCAACCCTAGACTGTAATCCTCCCGGCTCCTCTGTCCATGGGATTCTCCAGCAAGAACACTGGAGTGGGTTGCCAGATCCAGGGGCTCTTCCTGATGCAGGGATCAAACCCACATCTCTTGTGTCTCCTGCACGGGCTGGCGGGCTCTTCACCACTGTGCCGCCTGGGAGCCCAGTGATCAGATCGGGAGGGGGGCAGCACTCCAGCGCACCCACCCAGCGCAGCGCCCACTCTGCAGGGGCGAGTTTGGGTGGATGTAGGGCATGCTTTCGGGATCCCTGCAGTCAGGTTGATGATGCAAACTTTCTAACACGAGGTCTTCCTGTGAAATGATGGCAGACGGCACCTGGTCGAGAGATTTATTCTCTTGCTTTGGGACAAAATGCCAGGGGCCCCCAGGTTTTGTCACTTAGGTGATTCAGTGCTCTTGTGGGCCCCACATGGCGCATCCGTGTGGNCTTTCTAACACGAGGTCTTCCTGTGAAATGATGGCAGACGGCACCTGGTCGAGAGATTTATTCTCTTGCTTTGGGACAAAATGCCAGGGGCCCCCAGGTTTTGTCACTTAGGTGATTCAGTGCTCTTGTGGGCCCCACATGGCGCATCCGTGTGGGCGTCTGGCCTCTGTCAGCCAGCAGCCTGTCTCCCTGGTGTAAGTCACTCCCCAAGCAGGGTATGACCCAGCGCCCACCTGCCGCCCAGCTCCCTGGCTTCAGGACTCGGGGAACCTGAGAACTGCAGGACAGTCCTGGGCACAGCCCCACACCCCCGCCCCCTGTCAGCCGCCTTGGCCTTTCTGCCTCCACCGTTGAGGCTCCTGGCCTTTTCCCTGAAATCGGAGCCAGACACGTGGGCATCTTCCTTCCATGACTGCCGTGTCCCCCACGCCTGTGTTCTGCCCCAGGAACCCTCCAGGGAGAGTCGCTGGGTGTGTTGTCCCAGGCGTGGGTACAGGGCCCCCAGCACCCACCCTCACCCTTGGTGCCCATTCCCACCTGAGGTGTGGGTACAGCCAGACCCAGGGCACATGGGCCTTCCTGGTGGGGACACCTGGTCATAGCCCCCAGCCCAGTGACCGGGAGGGCCCCAGGCCTGGCAGTCCCCATCTGCTTGGGTGGATCCCGGGATCCCGGGCCTGGCAGGTCCCCATGTGCTTGGGTGGATCCCGGTGCCCTGGGCCTGGCAGGTCCCTGTCCACTTGGGTGGACCCCAGGCCTGGCACGTCCTCGTCCGCTCGGGTGGACCCCGGGCCTAGCAGGTATCCATCCGCTCGGGCAGCCTGGGGCCCTTCTGGTGCCTCTCCAGCTCCTTCCTCATGCGAGCTCACCGGCTCACGAGTGTTCTTGTTCCTAAATGCTTGCTTCACAGCAGGCGCCCCCTTTGCGGGCTGTGTTTGTGGGTTCCTAGAGAGTCATCTCTGCTTACCCTGGTCCCACCCCGGGACCCACTTGCTCATGGGAGCTGCCATGTATACATGGGTCAGCCCCTTGTCAGTCCTCAATAGACCGTCTGGTGCAGAATAAAGGCGTCATCAGCATGGGGACCTGAGTCCCCAGCCTGGATACCACAGGGGTTGGGGCGGTTCTCACTGGTCCTCTCTGACCAGATGGTGACGGGGGTACACAGGTGTCATGGAGTGGGTGGGGGCCTCGAGGGGTTTCTGTAACGCTTGGATGACTTAAGTAGGCACCAGTAATCTAATCCCTCAATGGCCTCAACTTTACACGTCATATATGGTCGAAGTATCTGAAAATTAATTTGTGAAGAGGGTCGGTATCCAGGGGTATGCACAGTGCGGCCCCGAGGCCTGAGCCCAGGAGCATGCGCGGTCCCGAGGCCTGACCCCAGAGCTGTGCGGTGCAGCCCTGAGCCCTGTGGGGAGAGGGAATCTGTGGGCTGGGGCCGATCCCTGATTTAGAAACAGACCCCTGTGAAAGGTCTGGAGGGGGTTGGGGCAATGGTTGGAATTCACTCCAGGCCATGTGAGTCTCTACTTGTGTCTGGGTTTGAATTTGCAGCCCAGCCCAGAAAAGTATAGACATAGAAGATGGAAACAAGGGTGAACAACTAAATCAGAAAATTTGGTTTCAAGCAGTCTTGACATTAACAAGCAGACACTCCATCTTTGTCGTTTGAGCCCAGGAAGAGGCAAGAAACGGGGGTGACTGACGGTACAGACCAGGGAACTAGGACGGGGCGGAGGGTGCAGCGGCGTGTCCTCCCTACAGGACAGGGGAGCTAGCTCTGGGCACTGGGGGGCCTGCTGTGCCCTCTCCTGGGCTTTGTCCTGCGAGCCCTGGCACCACCCCCAGGACAGGAGGGCCTGGCGTTTGCTGTGGCTCCTGTGGGGAAGTCATCCTCACACAGGCTCAGGAATGGAGCAACTGCGCGTCTGACCCCATGGAGACGGTTCAGGGCACTTCTGCCAGGTCGACCCCACAGTGATGGGGTGACTCCTGCCAGGCCGTGCACCCTCCGCACTGGGCTCTCAGAGGCTCTGTGCTGACCGATAGGAGTCGGGGCTATGTGGGCTCCTCTGGCTTGCTTGTGATGCTAGTGGTGCCGGGCCTGTGAGCAGTGAGAGTTCATTTCATGTGTGTTCTGGTGTTTTATTTGAGGTTTTTGTCTCCCAGAAATGTAGAGTGAAAAGGGCAATAGTAGGATAGTATGTCCAGTTCCAGGGAGCCAGGGCATTTGGAGCGCATAAGTGAATCTTTCAGAGACAGGAAAGGTGCCGTACCTTAAACAGGATGCCCATGCTCCGTGCAAAGTGAAGCCCTACACACAGCGGGTCCGTGCTCGTGCCAAATCTCCGTTTGCTTCCAAGACATGCCTCGAGTGAACCCCATTTCTTTGTTTTTCAGGTGTTTCTGCTGTTGTATCAATAGTATCTGGCCCATAAGTTACTTTGGTTATAATTGATTCTTTGGTTCAACAATATTCATGAAATTTAAACTTTTAATTTGGATTTCTCAATCATGGCGGTATCACTGAATATCTTTTTTAAAAAATTAGCTTTGTGATCTCTTATTTTAAATATGGATTGAATGTGTCATAAAAGCTACAGTGTTTCCTCGGTGATTTCCATGACCTGCCCCTCTCTGGGCTGAGCTACACCACCACCCAGCAACTCCCCCTCTGGGTGTATACATGGCAGTTCACACATGTGCACAGCGATCTGTGTGTCCTGTACTCGCCCTCCCGGTGTGCACATGGTGTTTCACACACATGCACAGCGGTCTGTGTGTCCTGGACTCACTCCCCGGGTGTGCACATGGTGGTTCACACACGTGCACAGCGGTCTGTGTGTCCTGGACTCGCCCCCCGGGTGTGCACGTGGTGTTTCACACACGTGCACAGCGGTCTGTGTGTCCTGGACTCGCTCCCCGGGTGCGCACATAGTGTTTCACACACGTGCACAGTGGTCTGTGTGTCCTGGACTCACTCCCCGGGTGTGCACGTGGTGGTTCACACACGTGCACAGCGGTCTGTGTGTCCTGGACTCGCTCCCCGGGTGTGCACGTGGTGGTTCATACTCACGTGCACAGCAGTCTGTGTGTCCTGTACTCGCCCCCTGGGTGTGCACATGGTGTTTCACACACGTGCACAGTGGTCTGTGTGTCCTGGACTCGCTCCCCGGATGTGCACATGGTGGTTCACACACATGCACAGCAGTCTGTGTGTCCTGGACTCGCTCCCCGGGTGCGCACATAGTGTTTCACACATGTGTACAGTGGTCTGTGTGTCCTGGACTCACTCCCCGGGTGTGCACGTGGTGGTTCACACACGTGCACAGCGGTCTGTGTGTCCTGGACTTGCTCCCCGGGTGTGCACGTGGTGGTTCACACTCACGTGCACAGCGGTCTGTGTGTCCTGGACTCGCTCCCGGGTGTGCACGTGGTGGTTCATACTCACGTGCACAGCGGTCTGTGTGTCCTGTACTCGCTCCCCGGATGTGCACATGGTGGTTCACACACATGCACAGCAGTCTGTGTGTCCTGGACTCGCTCCCCGGGTGTGCACATAGTGTTTCACACATGTGCACAGCGGTCTGTGTGTCCTGTACTCGCCCCCCGGGTGTGCACATGGTGGTTCACACTCACATGCACAGCAGTCTGTGTGTCCTGTACTCGCCCCCCGGGTGTGCACATGGTGGTTCACACTCACGTGCACAGTGGTCTGTGTGTCCTGGACTCACTCCCCGGGTGTGCACATGGTGGTT